AATAAATGTATAGAATCTAGTTATTTGTAGGTATAATCAGCATTATTTAGCTATTCAAGGCCAACTTCTTATTCAATTCATATAATTTATGTATAGATCCTTGCTTAAAACCCCTTACTTTCCCTCTGTGTAGCTTAGGAATGAAACTGCCAGGTGACTCGAGGCAGCAAGCCAACAAATTGAATTTATGGCCAGGGCTAAGCGTTTTGGGTGTCAGCCTGGTTAGGTCTGATTCATTTGCCAGATATAGCCGGGTTGAGTTGGGTGAGCCGGGAGCTGCTGCTCAAGTGCTGCTTTTAATTTCCGACTCAAGCAGTTGGCGATTTGCTGGCCCTGCGGCCTACAAACAATTTCAAGCAATTTGCCTAAAAGTGGGCAACAAAGTGGGCGGTCGGCCAATGGATGGCTCCCTGCCAGTCTATCTGGGAGCATGCATCTAAATGAACTTTGCGTGCTGTCCAGGGGAAAAGGGAAGGAAAGGGAGTGGGTCATCGGGACTAGGGCACAGAGACAGATACAGATACAGGCAGGGGGCAGCGAGAGAGAGTCAATGACAGAGCCTCTGGGGACAGCAGGCAGCTCTCACATTGATATGATAAAAATTTAGCAATGTGAATAATTTATAATTGCCACGCAAGCAACTAAAACATCTTACCTCACACTGAGAAAATGTACATTACCAAATTATAAGGTAAATTCTCAAGGATTTGGGAAAATGAAATGTTCGCAGAACTTTCTTGATTGAAGGATCAAATAATTTATACTTACGAATACTTTAAAATTCAAATTCTACTCATTTCCTGAATGATTACTTATAAGAACATATAATTTATAATTTATAAATAATTTATGCAACCTAAAGTTTCACTTCTTTAATACTCTTTATTTGTATTATTTCTCTTGGTGTTCGTTCTCTTCTCTTTGGGAATATGCAAATTCTTGAATTTTTGATGTGTTATCAAAAAAAAAAACTGTTGGTATGCTTATTGCTTTTATTTATTTATCGCATTCACTCGGCATTCGCAGTTTACCGCGTTGAAATCGATTTGCATACTCCAGGAAGTGCCTACGACAGCGTTATTCTTCTTTTATTTTCCCCCGATTCGAATCTGGCAGGAAAATGGGAGGTCAGGGGAAGCTGAAGGGGCCACCCAATGTTTGCTTATACATAGTTCCTGAAAAATCGAATAGCAAAAATACTGAAAGAGGAGGCGGCGTCCTTCAAGTGCCATCAAATGTCAGCAAACTATAAAAATCCCGAAATATGTATCGCATATATTCCATGAAAAAATCAAATTGAATATATGGCATATGGTACTTTCAGGCATGCATGTATATATATGTATATATGAATGTATCTATATATGTATATAAATTTAATAAGTGGTGTGTATTGAGTTTGAAATTCAATTTCGGTACAGTTTAAACAATATTTTTAAGAATTTTTATTAAAGCCTCTATAATATTTAGATAATAAAGGTATAAGAACTAATTTTACATTTTGTAAAAAGTAAAACTGAAACTTAAATCAAACTTAAAACATTCTTTTTTATGATTATAACTTGCAATGATATTTGTCTCTCTCTGTGCCTTTATTTTTTATTATATTATCTGAACAATTCATGGTTAATTATAAAGAGCCTGAAGTTTAGTTTTTGAAATAACAAGGAAAGAAGATTATTCATAGAATATGAAATACCAAAAATCTTAAGAGCTCTGCTTCTGTGTGGTAACTTAAATAAAGGAAATATGTATAAGAAATCGTACATAATTAAGCCCTAGGCGAATATTGGGTTGTCATCATTGTCCATCGAACTTTCTCCGGCATTTTCTTAGCTCTCATTCTTATTTTCACAGTTAAGCCGTCTTAGGCCAAGCATGTTCTATGGTATGGCTGAATTTTCCGCAGCGACTTAATATGGAGTTGGGAAAATATTCCACAAAAATCTCACCAACCCACACGGTAGAGCACAGTAAGTTTCAGCATCTCAAAATCGACATTAGCGGAATTAAAAGTTTTTTTCCATGCGGTGAAAATCTTGATAAAAAAGTTTTTCGCTTCCGCTTTATTAAGCGCAAAAGAATGAAACAAAGAGGCCGAGAAAAAAATAACAAACTTTCTTCTTAACTAACGCTATAATTAATAACGCCTCTCCCTCTCGCCCTCCGGTAGTATTTCTGGTGATGTTAATACCATTCCGGAGATCCAACTAAGAAATTCATTTCCATTTAAGCAGCTTTACACACAAACGGCAATTATTATCTTTCTATTATGCAGATTAATGCAGCCCGAAAAGGGGGGACTTCTGCTATCGCCACGGCCACAAATCACCGGCAACCGCCTTAATGCAATTCAATTAATTCAGTTTGGAATCTAATTGGAGATATCACTTTTGGTGTCAAAATAAACCAAAGCGAAAACAGCAAGAAAAACAATGGCAAAACACTGAAACCGAAACAGGAACGGAAAACGAGGCTCAAACAGAAACTGAAACAGAAACAGAAACAAAGGCAAATTGCAAAAGGCAGAGAGGATGATGATAAACTGTCGTTGGGGGGGTTGGGTGGTTGGTATGTGTGACGTCATTACGTAATCAAATCAAATAACAATTTGTACTTTGTTAAATTTCTTGTCGCCATCGATTGCCGCTGTCTTCGCCCTGACAAAAATGCAAATTTCATGTATATTTTTTTGTTGTTTTTTTGTGTGGCGTATTGTTTTTGCTTTCGATGTTTCTGTGTTTTATTACGTGACAACTTTGAATTAGTCGGTGGCTTTTGGCTTTGGCTTTGGCTTTTTGGACTCGTTCGTTTTCGATTGTTTGTATTTTGCTTTTGATGCTTATGCTTGAGTTTCTATCTCTTTCCTTTCCGTTTATTGACCAACTGACACATAAAGTCAAGTGGTGAACCCAATTGGTAGCAGGCCCCCCCTCGGAAATGGGCTCATTGAAAGGGTTAAAGGGGTACAAGTATTAGAAAATCAACGGATCCTAAATTGCAACTAAAACTAAGGTACATAAAATATAATTTATGCCCTGTTAATTTGTTGTTTTTCCATTGAATTTATTGGTAGTGTTCTACCTAGAATATTTACCATAAATGTGACATTTATTTGAAACATTTGTCTTTCAATTGTTGCATTGTAATTTATTCCCAAACAAATATATAAAACCGTAATAAATAATACAACTCATAGAATTTAAGCAGATCTATATTTAAAAATATTTTCCTCTGCTTTAATAATTTATTGTATTTATTTTACATTTACAGGTATGCTTCGCCTTAGAAAGGTTACTAGCTCTTGGTTGAATATCCATTAAAATTTATATAAATTATATATATATTAAAATATATATCACCAGAAAGGATATACCTGTATCTTGCTTTAAATCTGTATTAACAATTTACCTAGGTAAACAGTACCTTTTCAGTTACAAACAGTCTTTAACTTAAAGCCCTCGATTAACCCTCCCGTTTTGGAAATCAAAACTTAATTTGCCGCAAATACAACCAATTCATTTCAGTTATCGCGATGAGATATATTTGAGCCTGATACTTGAGCTGTTGTTGTTATGCTAATTAAGACGGAAAACTAATTTCGCCTAATTAATGATGAGCGATTAAAGTGGATTGTCAACCAGTTAGAGATTATGCACACGCCGGGCCTAACAACTTCAGCTGCAAACTGTCTAATTGCGGGCCCAAGAAAGTGCAAAGTGCAGCCCGGAGATTTGTGTCCAAGGTGTCACATATTAAAATCAACTGACCAACAGACAGACGGGCAGACACACTGGCCAAAGCAAACAAATTGAAAAGCAGACAGAGTGGCAGACAGTCATTCGGAAAGTGCACAGAAAACAATTTGAACTTATATAATAAACTTAGGTTAAAAGGTTTTCATTTTCAAAAACGAAATTGAAATTTGACGTTCTTAGAAATTAAATGTGAAATAATTCAAACTTTTAGTTAGTTACTATATATTTTCCTAAGTGTAATAGTTAAAAGGTCTGACTGCGGGAGGGAAAAGAGACTACGAAATTGACTTTGAGTGTTTACGAAATGCATCGTGTTGGGCCCCGGCTTTGGGAAAATAAAAGGGGAAACGGAAACGGTTGGGAAGGGGGTCGCTTTGAAATCAATTTTGCGAAATTCATTACATTTAACCATTTAGGGCCAACGTGACCAACACCGAGGAAATAAACGAATTTTTAAATTACAATTTACAACAACTAATCCTAATATTAAAATCATAAAAGCAGCATTCAAATAAAACAATTTTTAATGTACTTAAATGTTTTAGGTATTTTAACTTATTTATGCTTAATTTGTAAAGGGGTATAAATTTTAAATAGAAAATATTATTGTACAAAAATTATAATAATTTACCATTGGTAATATTTGGTTTAATAATTAAAACATTATTTTTTTAAATAGAAATCTGGGGTTTTTAAAGTAATACCTTTTAATTAAAAAGTTTTTATCAAGCTCTAATAACTACCAAACATTTATTTAACTCAACTTTTTACCAAAACTGATATACTCTCTACCAAAAAAAAGTGAAATTCATTTGCTTTAAGCCATTCCACTGATCATTAAGCGTCCGTGGCCCATCGCTCTTGGTTGGGCACCAACTCGGCATTAAATTACGAGAGCGCCCAGTCAGGTTGAGGCCGCGCTTAATCAGAGAGCTTAAGTCGTGTTTGATGGGAGAGATTAAGCAGAGTTTGATCAGAGAGTTAAATGTGTGTAAAACTGCGTGGAGGGAGGAGGAGCGCGGTGCAATGTGATGTGTGCAGCCGATAATTTCGGATTTTGTTTGCACGCGGCGGCCTATTGCGTGGCGGCAGCTGCCCAACATTCAACATTATTTAGTTTTTATTTTCGCACATTTTGCATAAATTAAGGTGCCAAGACCGTAGTCCGTTGGTGGCTGCTTTGGCCCGTGGGCTTTCGAGCCGGGCTCAGTTACCAATTTCGTGTGCAGCCGTTCGGTTTGGATGCGGCATGGCGTGGCCAAAACAGTGAGCCAGCGGCGATCGATTGGAAATATAGTCCCCCGCATAACGCAAATCCCAGATATACAAAATGTGTGCACACTTGAGCGGTGGAGCGTCATCGGTGGTGCAGTGGATGTTACTGATTGCGGTGCTATCCGCACCACCGGCCAGTGAAAGTGCCAAGCTCCCGGCCCGACAGTATCCCGCTGGAGTGGATTTCTTTGAGCACGAGTTTACCAGCCTGTCGGCAGGTGTGTTTCCGCCGTAGTTTACCCAGTTTACCCACTTAAACCACATCTGCTGTACCTTGCAGATGAGTACGATCCCTATGGCCCGGATATAGGGGACGACGATCTGGGAATCGATGATCCGGAGACCATGCCGCGCCTCTTCCAAGGAGACATCGCCGTTGATCCTTACACCTACATCACGCTTCGCTTGGGAGTTAATCCCATGCGACACCCCAAGCGCCTTTGGCCCAATGGCACCATTCCGTTCGAGATCAGCCCGCGGTATGTGAATCAGGAAAGGCAGGCCATAGTGCAGGCCGTGAAGACATTCAACTCGCTGACCTGCGTGCAATTTGTGCCATACGATGGGGAAGTGGAGGATTACCTGCTGATTGAGCCGCCCGAAGAAGGACCCCAGGGCTGTTGGTCCTACGTGGGTCGCAGGGGTGGGGAGCAAGTTGTGTCCCTGCAGAGGCCCGACGAGAACAGTGCCCATTGCTTCAGCAGCGAGGGAAGGATAATGCACGAACTGATGCATGCCATTGGCATATATCACGAACAATCTCGGGCCGATCGGGACAATTTTGTGAAGATACACTGGGACAATATCGTGCCGCGATTCCGAAAGAACTTCAAGCTGGTCTCGAAAAAGAAGGGGAAATACGCCTTCGACTACGATTACAACTCCGTTATGCACTACGGGGAGTTTTACTTCAGCAAGCGAAAGGGGGAGAAGCCCACGATGACCCCCTTGCAGCCTGGCGTCCGGATCGGCCAGCGAAAGACCATCAGCAAGATCGATTGTCTGAAAATCAACGAGCTGTATGGATGTCTAAAGGGTCGCAGGGCCAAGATGTACCGCAGTTTTTGTCACCTTTTGGGGCTTTAAACGTCACTTTGCTTTTAGAGTTTTATAAATCACATTGATTTGTTACTTAATAAATTAATCTTTAGATCTGTATAGCGGATTTGTGTCTAATTATTTTATTAACAAAAAGGTAACCCAACTTCGCGCTTTAAATAAGGAGATAGACTGGTGTGGATAACTTACATTTTTTAATTATTGAATTATGGGGTCAAACATTCTAAAGAATTCAGCAATATTCCTTAGAATTAGTGTGTTTGTTATTATTTTCTTAAATAAGCTTATTCACGTATTACAAAAATGGAATTTAAAACTAGGTTGCACGACAAAATGCACGTAAATACGTGTTTTAATTTAAAATTATAATATATTATTCCTTTTATCCAGTTTGTGATTGTATACTTATACAATTTAGGTTCCTAGAATATTCATTCTTTCATTTAAAATTCAAAATATAACGGTTTAAAAAAATGGGCAGCACTAGGACTAATGAACGTTAAAAATGGGCAGCACTGGATGCTCGAGCAACCAGCGTTGCCAGACTTTTCTCTTTACCCTCATTCGTGAGATCAGAGGTTGTAGTATCCGCTGTGGTTCAAGTAGCGGTGTGGTTCGAGTACAAGGTGTGGTTCGAATATCAGATGTGGTCGGATTTTTTAGGTGATTTGAGATTTTTTAGGGGAAAATTGCAACTCTAGGAGATTTTAAAAGGCAGTATTAATCTGCAACACTGGTTCGGTCACTCTTTTTTTGGACGAGGTTAGGTAAGACACGCGCGGACGTGCTGCTTCTTGATTTAGCATAACGAAAAGTGTACTTAGAATAGCCTAGAATTAGTGAAATATGCTAAAACTAGTGCAATACATATCCCGCCGGGCGGGCGGGAGTTTTGCGGCGCCGGCTGCCTGCGGCTGGCGCAACTCGCTATTGATTTCCCAGAGTTCCGAGAAATGTATAACGCAACGTCGCCATTTTCTTTTCTCCACAACCAACAGCGGCACTTTCGCTTCTTCGCTCTGCTACGAACACCGACAACAGTTCCACGGGAGTCGCAAGGATCGGAAGTTATATCAGCCGACGCTACTGCTATCCAGTAACAGTATTTTCCAATCGCAGCGGGCGTTTCGATCCAACTCGAAACCAGACGAGGACTCCATAGATTCTCTCCCTAGAGCAGAGCAACGGACGAGAAGGAAATCGCTTTTTACCGATCCAGACGAAAGTAAAGAGGATATCAAAATTGAAGGAATAATGTGAGTAAAAACATCTGCTTAAATTGCTTATGAAACTCGTTTGGTTAATTTCCGACGTCGCCATTTTCTTGCCCTGCGTGTTTTTTTTTTTTTTTCTCTACACCTACGAACGAGCGGTGATGAGTAATTAGTGTAAGCAGAGCAAAGCGAAAGCGGCGAAGAGAGGGGGGAAAAACACATGGTCTGCTAAATTTTGACAGTTACTCGTGCCCCATTCTCTTGTATTTTTGTGTATCCCCCACATCCGCAAAAAATGGGGAAAAGCAACAAGAACGACAGCGCACGTCATAAAAAGAATTTGCTTGATTTGTGAAACGTGTCTTTGCTTCGTTTGCTTTTTTATAGCGTTTTAATTTGTCTGTATGCCCCAACACGAACACGCCACACACACACATCGGCAATTTGGTGTGTTTGTGTGTGTATATGCCTGTTGACGGCGGCATTTTTCGCGTGCACATATAACAGTTTCTCGTATAACACTGTGCGGCTGTCACTGAGTCGCGCCGTCCCGCTCTTGCTTGCGTGCCCATGCCCCTGTCTCATGTTGTTAGTTCACACGAGGGTCTAATCGAAATATCGCGATGTTTTCAGTGGCCGTAAAGACGTAAAACTATACTTGAGTTATTATTGGTCTGTTCGGACTGTATGTGCCAAAGGTTATCTTCGAATTACTCACGAAACATTGTTTATATTTATGATTAATATTTATATTTCTTGGAAATTTCATAATAATTATTATATTGTGCACTTCGTGAATCGTTCGCTTACATAAACGCCCCATTAGTTTAAAATGTCAAACGACGCCAATTGATTATGATGAGGCATTCATTCCCCCCTTGGCAAGCCCGCGATTCGTCTTTTCGCATGTCAAAAAGCGACAGGTAGACACACAGCAAGTCAAAGGGGCTCCCTTGGATTTCCCCGAAATACCTTCCCCCTCCTCTCAGGTGTTTGCCCCGCTCGAGAAACTAGGGACAAGACATTTGGCTGTCTCATAAATGTTCAGAGCGTTCCGTTTCCGCTCGGCTAGTTGGGCACAAACGCTAGCGTGCCGTTGGATCCTACAAATAAACAGTTCGGGGAGGAATGGGGCTTTAGAATTGACAGAGCAAGTAGACAGGCACAAACGGGGGTGGGATTTGCATAGTGCGACCCCATCATCAGTGTTGATACACCTAAAAAAGCCAAAAAGTAGCTAAAATGAGTAGTTTAATTAGTACAGACATGAAGAAAGACAGTTTGGTCCTGTGTATTAAATTCTTTTGTAGCCTGTTTCGGTTTTCAAGTGTAAAGTATTCTAAATACAAATGCGTTAAAAATGTATAAACAAACGACACTTTTCAACATAGTTTTCGTTATGGGTTATATAAATGACTGAAATTTAGTAAAAACCATGATTTAAATTATCTGTAATGTAAAATGCATTCCTCATTTTACACATTTCCTAATTAGTTCAAAGATCTATCCAAAAAATAGCCAAGTCTGCAAGCCTAACACCGCGCATTGATTAATGTCAGAGCAATAAACCCAGTGCGCGGCGGGGTTGTTTAGTTGAGCAGTTTAGGGCAAGTAAATTGGGGTGGAAACAACTCTTTGGGAAGGGGTAGTAGTAGTAACCCTGCTCGAATTGCATGTTGTTGTCAATCAAATTTGCTTTACTGTTTGTATTATTCGAAATTTATTTAATTTCCCTAACACGCAATTAGTTTTATTTAAGTTTATTGCGGTTGTAGCACAACTCCATGTCAGCTGTTTAGCAGCGTCGAAAGAAAGAAAGAGTTACCTTCAAAGCCAGCCAAGTCACAGTCACAGTTGAAATCTAAGACCCAACTAGCAGACGTCTAAGCGCGGCAGCATGCGAGCAAAGTAAGCCAAGTCACTCGTTTCTTTTTCCCCTTTCTTTTTCTGCCAAAAGAAATACTTAAGAAAAGAAAATGCAGCTGTCGAGGCCGTGCCGAAACACACTAAAGTCTAGTTAAATACGTTTAAATTGTTGAAGGTTGTTTTTGGCTGCACAAACCAGAGAGTAGACTACCACGTTATGGCCAAATTGATACCGAAATCGTTTTTATTTATCAAAAGTAAAAATCCTAAAAGTGCGCTGAAGGAAACAGTAAATCCCAGATGCAAGATATCATAAAATTGATTAAACAAAAGTACACTTATAGGAAAAGACTAATAAACTGGAATATCTTGAATAGTGCAGCAGAATTTATGCTGTGAGAATTGGTATTCCCAGTTCTCAGATAGCAGTTTCGTTATAAAGTAAAGTTACGCAGTGTCTCTTATGTAACGCAGCAAGTTATATAAAAAGAAATATTCTTGTAATTGACATCGTTCTGAAATGCATTATAATTCAAATTTAGCTCATTTATAAGTGATTACAATTTGTACTATCTATTTTTGTATGAATCACATACATGTTCATTGTAAAAAGCTTTTTGAGGAATGTTTTCAGATACCATAAACAGTTAGGATACACATATCTGATACACCATCTTTTTAGACGCTTTGACCCCAAAAATCGCTTCTTTCTAGAGACCACAAAACCCTGAAAGAAACCAGCTGCAAGATAATAAATCACATGAATGTAAAATTTCTTTTCTTGAGCGTTCCTTTCACACAACAACTTCTTTGTAAGACAGACACTAACAGGCTCTTCTTTTGATTTCCAGGGCACCTCACGATCGCGACTTTGGTCAAAATTCGCGTGGCGGGCGCGGAGACCGCGGCGGGGATGACCGTCGTGGCGGTGGCGGCGGAGGCAATCGCTTCGGAGGCGGTGGCGGCGGCGACTATCATGGCGTACGCAATGGTCGTATTGAGAAGCGTCGTGATGACCGCGGTGGCGGCGGCGGCGGCAATCGTTTTGGTGGCGGCGGTGGTGGATTCGGTGGCGATCGTCGCGGAGGCGGCGGAAGCCAGGATCTGCCCATGCGACCGGTGGACTTCTCCAACCTGGCGCCTTTCAAGAAGAACTTCTACCAGGAGCACCCCAATGTGGCGGCTCGTTCGCCCTACGAGGTGCAGCGATATCGCGATGAGCACGAGATTACCGTGCGTGGACAGGCACAAAATCCTATTCAGGACTTTTCCGAAGTCTATCTACCCGACTACGTCATGAAGGAGATTCGCCGACAGGGCTACAAGGAGCCCACACCCATCCAGGCGCAGGGCTGGCCCATTGCCATGAGTGGCTCGAACTTCGTGGGCATTGCCAAGACGGGTTCTGGCAAAACGCTCGGCTACATCCTACCGGCCATCGTTCACATCAACAACCAGCAGCCGCTGCAGCGTGGGGACGGACCCATTGCTCTGGTGCTGGCCCCCACTAGGGAGCTGGCCCAGCAGATCCAGCAGGTGGCCACCGAGTTCGGTTCGTCATCGTATGTGCGGAACACTTGCGTTTTCGGCGGCGCCCCGAAGGGCGGCCAAATGCGGGATCTACAGCGCGGCTGCGAAATTGTCATTGCCACACCCGGACGACTCATTGATTTCCTATCTGCCGGCTCTACGAACCTGAAGCGCTGCACCTACCTGGTCTTGGACGAAGCGGATCGTATGTTGGACATGGGCTTCGAGCCCCAGATCAGAAAGATCGTCTCACAGATCCGGCCCGATCGTCAGACGCTCATGTGGAGCGCCACATGGCCCAAGGAGGTCAAGCAACTGGCCGAGGACTTTTTGGGCAATTACATCCAGATCAACATTGGATCGTTGGAGCTGTCTGCGAACCACAACATCCGCCAGGTGGTGGAGGTGTGCGACGAG